ATAAGCAAGTCAATAAACAAGACTTTGGTCGACCAATTGAAAAGAGAAAAGCCACGTGACATGCAAATTCGGCATGCCGGTAGTTCACACACTAGGAGACGCGCACGCACCTCAGTTCTGATTAGGATGAGCGATATGAGTGAACCGAAGGTAGGCGGTTAGGGAGGTACGATGCCGAGGTTGGGGTGTCGGCGGTGGGGGGGTTGATGAAGGAAATCTCAAAGAAGGATGAGGAGTTAAGAAGTTGTAGAAAACTTTTCAGCCACCCTATACCCCTTTTACCCGTTCTATCAAATCGGCGGTCAGATTGGCAGAATCGACGGTAGGAAACAGTTGGCCACTTTCTAGTTGTTGCTGCAGTCTCGAGAAAGCGGCGGAGTTCTTTCTCAGTTTCATATTTGTACTTCCACTTTTATTACAGAAGAGCAAAAAGTTAGTGAAGCATGTCTACGTACAGAGCACCAAAAGCTGGTCTTGCTAAGGAAGAGAGTCAGAAGGTAGGCCATGGAATTCTTAGATTTTTGGATTTTATAACAAAAAAAAAAAAATGTAGAAAAAAAACGTGTTAATCCTTTTTTGAATTGTGCGCGTCAAAACATTTTTTTTGTTTATAAAAGAGCGCGAATTTTTATTAAATAACAAAAAAAAAAAAAGCGAGAGCGAGACAAAAAAAAAAACGATTAAAAATATATATATAAACTAAACATGATAATTGGAATATTAAGAAAATATTATTAATGAAAATTATTTCTAAACGCCAGACCATAATCTATTAATAATTAAATAAATTTAATTGTGATCACCTAAATTAATAACTGAAGATATACACAAAAATATGTAACCGCTAAACCAGAATCATAATGCTCATTGATTTTTTTTAAGGGAATTAAAGATTTGAAAAAATTGTTCTAGGGAATGAGGCAGAATAAAAAATGAGAATGACACAGAGAGAGAGAGAGAGAGAGAGAGAGAGAGAGAGAGAGAGAGAGAGAGAGTGTGTGTGAGAGAGAGATAAAGCGAAAGAGAGAAAGAGAGAGTGGGGAAGAAAATAAAAAAACGAAAGCGATCAAGAAAGAATAATATACATAAATTTATAGTCGGAAAACGTATTACCAGTTCCAAGACTTTCCCACTCAAAAAGTGAAAAAAAAAGAAATCAGGTATATTTATCCTACCAATTCTGAAATTCTGATACCTCCATCCTAATCTGTTAGTAGTTGCTTTTGTATCAGCTTTACTCAGGTCGTCAATCTACGACGATCGATAGACAGCGTAGGAGCGTAAATAAAAGATAAACTCTTGGTGAGGTTCGAACTCGCTTTACTCACGTCAGATGTGCGTACACCAGGCTTTACTGAGTCGCAATAAAAAACATGTAAGAAAGTAAGATGAAAATAAATACTAGTAAAATGATCATTTATTGATAATAATAATAATAATAATAATAATAATTGATAGTATCTCATTTAATAAAAAGTAAAATACAAATAATACTGTTTTATATAGCATGTTATAGTATGAGAATGTAGATGATACATACATACACGCACATATGCACATACATATACACACGCATGCACACACATAGGTAGACTCAGACTGTAATAGGTCTAAGACTGTTCCTTGACTTCGGTTGTAAATATGTTTAACCTGATGATAGTGCTGCCAGGAAGTAACAGTCTCACATCATTTATCTCTAGCTGACCTTATTCTCCCGACTCAAAAAAGAAGGAAGGAAAAAATGAAGTGTAAAAACTTCTGTTAGAGCAGGGCCGGTGCAAGGGTCTCGGGTCACTAACCCCCGAATCTATGACGTAGTACCCTCACCAATCTGTGATACGGGGCTCCCTCTCTATTACATCTCAATTTTCATAAGGTAGAATTCATATAAATTTTATTGTAACTTAATTATGTACAATAATGGATCTTATGCAATATAGGTGAACAAGTCACCGAGAAGAATTGAAAATAAATACAATGTATTGTATCTAAATACAAATTAGAGACAACAGATCCTTCCCTCTGAAATAGTTATTTTCTAAGCGCAGCTTAGATGTGGCCGAAAGTATGGGGCACCTAGTGAAGATCAAACTCACTACTCAGTCGTAATTGTTCTACCGAGACAAACTTGCTAACCATTACACCACCTGGAGGTGCCCTCATTCTAACTGAAATAAAATCAAAAATGTTTTGCGATAATTTTTAACATCAACTTGAGATTTTTCTTGATAAATTAATAATTTTGAACGGGCTGAATAATTTTTTCAGCACGTTCAATATTAGGGATATAAAATAGTGAATTTTATATCACTTGTTTTTCAAGACTTAGCATGAGCAAAAATTCACGGATTTAGAGGAAGTAGAAAAATGACCACAGAAGGAAGTAAAAATCCGCAAAAAGTAAGAGTTTTCAGGCCCAATAGTCTTTCAAGACACGTAGCCTCTCCGACGAAGGGGGCGGTGCAAGGGTCTCATGTATTTATTATGCCGGTCCCCTCCCAAATCTATGATACGCTCAGCACCATTTTGCTACATCACTATTTTCATAAGCTTGCATTTATATAAAATACGAAATTTATTGTGACAAAATTATATACAATAATGGATTATATGCAATATATATGAACAATTCACCTAGAAAAATTGAAAATAAATACAATGTATCTAAATACAAATTAGAGACAATAGTTAAATCCATCTTAAATAAATCAAGAATGTTTTGCGACAATTTTAAAAATCAACTTGAGATTTTTCTTGATAAAAAGTTGAATAATTTTAACACATTCAACAGTATGGATAAAAAAATAGTAAATTTTATATAGTTCGTTTTTCAAGACTTACGAAGAGTAAAACAAATTCACAGATTTGGAGGAAGATGAAAAATGGCCACAGCAGGAAATAAAAATCCGATAAAATTTTTCATTCTTCAATAGTCAGTTATGCTTAGTTTATATATATATATATATATATATATATATATATATATATATATATATTTCGTATATGAATGTAGGTAGAAAAAAAGTAAATGTTGATAAGATAGCGAGGGAGACTGCAAGACTGCCCGGGGTACCCAATCAGGGGTTCGGGAAGTAGTACGTGCCGGTCCTGTGTTAGAGTACGTAGTCTGTAGTCCCAATTTTCTTGTCTGATTCTCTTTTCTTTCAGTCTTTCGGTTTTGATTTTTATTTTCTTGATTACATTGAATATTCCAGAAGTCGTCTGTTAATCTGATTATACAAAAGTGGATTCCTCGGGAAATCGCCTGTTGAAGCCTCAATTGCCAGACAAAAAAAAAAAAAAAAAAAATTGTTCGAAATAAAATACCATCGACTTTTGTCACCTGATAACTAATCTGAAGTTTCCGTCAATACAGAAATATATTTCTCCTTTGTCTTCCGAGATTCAAGATTTGTTTTAGAATTGATTGTCAATATTAAAAATACAAAACGAATTGTATATATATATATACAGGGTGTTTCAAAAAATTTGATATCCTTTGAGATGTAAATATCACAGAAAGTACATGATTAAGGCAAATGAAATTAAAAAGTATTAATGCTGAAGATCATAAGATTTATTCTTCCAAATCTGAATGAGAAATTCAAAAGCATGTGGATTATGTGTACGATTTCACAAATGTTCAATATGCGAACCGCCTGAGACACGGCATTTTTATACCTGGAAAGAAAAAGATTAAAGATTAAAGAACATAAAAATACAAATAAGAAAAACACAAAAACATAAAGACATAAAAACATAAAACAAACATTAAACATAAAGATGCTATTAAAATTTGACAAATTTCACAAATGTTCAATATGCGAACCGCCTGAGACACGGCATTTTTATACCTGGAAAGAAAAAAGATTAAAGATTAAAGAACATAAAAATACAAATAAGAAAAACACAAAAAACATAAAGACATAAAACATAAAACAAACATTAAACATAAAGATGCTATTAAAATTTGAAGTCATTTGAAGGAGATCTAACAAAGTTATTAGATTGCGAAATGATATCAAATTTTTGAAACACCTGTATGTATGTATATATATATATATATATATATATATATATATATATATATATATATATATATAAAATAAATTTTTACTCTTTCTTTTACAAACGCGTATAATGAAATTTATTTTTTGTATATTTGCATAAATTTTTGTTTACCTTTTTTTTTTTTTACTTACCATATGCACTCGAGTATAGTACAAGTTTTTATGATCATTTTTTTACGCACACAAGAGGGGTCGCATTTTTTTTTTCGGTAAATAGGGGGTCGCACTATACAGAAGTATTTTTTTTTTTAAATAGTTAAAAATCAGGTATTATCAGTGACCAGCTGCCCTATACACAGATAATTTTTTTCTTGAGGGGTTAAAATTAATGGAAAAATTCATAGGTTGTACTAAACATGAAATCAGCTTATACGTGGGTATATAGTATACTAGCAGTAGAGCCCGGCGTTGCCCGTGGATCGACCATCATAAAGACGGAAAAATAAAATTGACAAAGATTATAGTTTAAGGTTGGCAGAAACGCATGTCTTAATTAGTTTTTTTTTTTTTTTTTTTTTTTTACGAATTGGTCAAACCTAAACTGAAACAAAAACATTGTTTTCAATCGTTATGAGTCTACCGATTGAATAGAATTTTATTATAAACAATTGTCTTGTAAATGGAATTTTTAAAGCATTCTGAACGTAAAAATAAAGAAAAAAGTGTGCAAGACAATAAGAAACACTACCTGCCAAAAAAAAGTGAAGTTTTGTTGAAATCGGTTGAAAAATGTAGGAAATCCGATCCCATATATAAATGAACACACACACACACACACACACACACACACACACACACACAAACAACCTGGGTTTTATAATAAGTATAACTCGATATGAGTTGTCCTCCTTTCATTCTCGCGATGCCTCTTAATCGTGTTTTCAAATTGATTTCGTGCCAAAACAATTGTGTTTTTCCAATTTTTGGCCGCTGTCAGAATCACCGCAAGGTAATTTTACGTAGTCCTGTGAAGTTTTGTTGAAATCGGTTGAAAAATGTAGGAAATCCGATCCAATATATAAACGTACACACACACACACACACACACACACACACACACACAACCTGGGTTTTATAATAAGTATGATTTTCAGTTTTGTGCGTAATTGTATATAACTATGGAAAAACCTTTCCTGTAATGGGATACAAGGTCTACAAATAATATAACAAGTAAATTAACTAAAACGTCATTTACATTATCTGTCTGTATTTCTGAGATGAGGTATTTTGTACACTATTTACATTATTCGAACTATTGTCCTCATCTTTGTCGCCATATTTATTACAACGTTTCGGCCGTTGTACGCTCCGGCCTTCTTCAAGTGGTTGGAATGTCGAACTGAACCCTTTATTTCGTTCACTGGTGTAGACTGTTCTAGTTCCACGTGGCGCAGTGGATAAAGGCATTAGTTAGATCCAGTGACAGGACGCAAAGAGTGTGAGTTCAATACCCAGTTAAGGCAGTGGAGAACTTGGAGAGGGGAATTAACAGAAGATAACTGATAACTGACATCCATTAAACATGGCACGTGGAACTAGACCAGTCTACCCCAGCGAGAGTAATAAAGGGTTCAGTTCGACATTCCAAGCACCTAGAGGAGGCCGGATTGTACAACGGCCGAAACTTTGTAATAAATATGGCGACAAAGATGAGGACAATAGTCCGAATAATGTAAATAGTGTCATTTACATTTTAGTAGGAAATAATTTTAAAAAAAAAGAAATGATAATTATCATTACAGCACCCGCAAGAGTTATTTTCTAAAATGTTCAGAAATATTTCAAGATGATACAAATGATCTGAACAACTACAAACAAAGAATCAACTCCATATTGTCACATTTTGTTATACTGGAACACACCTATTGTTAATAGACTCTCCCACCTATAATAAGTAGGAGTAGTAGCAGTCGCGGAGTGTGTTGGTCAATCAGTCGATGTCGGACATTAAAGTATCAGCCACCACAACTAGATTGCTGCGTCATTAACTATTATATCAAGTTCCTAACGTTTTGTACGTCGAACCTTTTTAGGACCGACTTAGTGAAATACAAGCCTCCACTGTGAAACACTCTATAACAACTTTGGCGACGAGGATGAGATGTTCACTGAGTCCTGCAATTCGCATCCGTTCTCTCGGCTGGCCGCGCTCTTCATCGACGGACGAGCCGAGTGATCCCCCGTCCAGGATTACGAGGGATTCGTACTCATACGGAGGAAGAAAAACTTTTCGTTCACTCTATAACACATTTAAAAAAAATAGTTAAATTAAATCATAATTTTGACAATGATACATTTATTTAACAACATTAAATTAAATTTTGAAAGAATAAGTCAAAATTTTAAATTAAAATATAAATTAAATTCACTGCTTTTAATCAATTTTAATTTAATTTCTATACTTTTATAAAACTTACCTATTACTGTCTCCAAAAAATGATTACAATTCAAAAGTGTGTTTCAGCTTTGAATAACCTGCAAACAGTGGATGACCTGTAAAAAAACAAAAACAAAACAAATCAATCAAACAGTTTATCCTTACTAAAAATCTTGATCATTATTTGTAGGCTAGAGTTTCTGGTTTTATTATGCAAAACGTATGTAAATGTTTAACTGGGCTAATTTTAGGCTAAGTAGAGGTTCATCCCTTGTTCCCTGTTTAGGATTGTGTTTCTGGTTCCTTCTAAAGTCTACTTCAACTCTATATTTCTAACGTTTCCGCGTATATTCTGAATTGTTTTTCACTGATTATTTTTCTCCTCCCCTAATAGGAGTAGATAGGTTCGCCTATCGAACCGGTTCACACTTCTCCCCTGTCTTTTGAACAGGATTAGTAGTTCATCCCTTGTCCCCTGTTTAGGATTAGGTTTCTAGTTCCTTCTAAAGTTTCCTTCAACTCTATATTTCTAACGTCTCCACTTAAACTCTGAATTGTTTTTCACTTGTTATTTTTCTCCTCCCCTAATAGGAGTAGATAGGTTCGCCTATCGTCCGGTTCACACTCTTCCACCGTCTTTTGAACAGGAGTAGTGGTTCATTTGTTGTTTCTTATTTAGGATTGGGTTTCCGGTTTCTTTTAAAGTCTTTTCCAACTTTGTACTCGGAAATTTTATTCGCTAATTAAATCTTGACCTCTTCAATCTAGAAATAGCAATCAATCTTTCCTGTTATCTTGCCCCTTCTTACACTAACACAACGCCCCCACAGTAACCCTCTACCTTGAGTGGCTCTTGGGCCTTTTATTGAGTGAACATAAGTAAAAAAAAAAGAAAAGAAAAAAGAAGCCCATTTAGAATCGCGTTATATTTACGTATAATATTCTTGAGTCCTAAGGAAGAGACAGTCTCCTCCAAGAGGGGGCTTAGGTTAATCCCTGGTGTCTGAGACGTCCCCCAAAAGGAAAATACTGAGGAGAGCTGTATACGTGGAACGCCCACTTTAAACTTGGCCCTGTGTCACGTTCCATTCGAGTGAACGTGCGGTTGAATATCTACTTTCTATAATTTAAGAGTTATTCTATGGGTCGTTCCAACTATTTAAATCATTACTTTTGTTAAAATTTTCGACCGATCCAATCTTTGGCCTTCCCCAATTATATGTAAAATGTTCGGCTCATTCTACTGCCCCAAGAAGTGCCTGACACCTTCTACAATTTTTTAAATTTTCAAGAGTCAGATCAGGTCAAAAATGGATTATCGCTACCATGTCTGGACTGGAGCTACTCAATCCGCACCAACCAGCCTTGATAGTGTCCAGAATCGGTTACGCGGTTTTTCTCGATGATTGTTTACCACTTTACAACCTCTTTACCACAGGTGTAACGTTGCAGGCCCATTGCTACTTTGTTGCTGTTTCCATAACTAATATTCAGACAAGCTCCATTTTTTAGTTCTACCAGTTCAGACCTTTACAGCTAGGACTGTCCAGGCTCCTTTCACGGAGTCGAATCATCCCCATTTCCTCCCTATTCTAACTGTAAGGGGGAAGTTCAACTCTTTTCTCCCAAGAAAAGCCACGTTGTGGAACAGACTCCAGCGTGGATACTTTCCTTGGCACAACAATTTTAACCTCTTCAAGTCAAAAATCAGTCGTTATCTATCCTCCTTATACTCATAATCTTCACCTCCTCCTACCTCCTCTTACATTCACATCACGCAACTCATTCAGTTACCCTCTACCTTGAGTTTCTCTCGAGCCTTGTATTGAGTAAACACTTTATCTCCTCTTACGTTCATATCGCACAGACACACACACACACACACACACAAAGAGTAATCCTCTACTATGAGTGGCTCTTAAGCTCTTATTAAGTGAAAATTTAACCACCACTTATGTTCATATGACACCTCTTAGAGTGGCTCTTGAGCCTTGTATCAGGAGGCCAAGTAAATATACTTGATGCCTTCATTGTTTCCATATATTATGACCATTTTGTTTAAAGTTCGATTTTTTTTATTTAAAATGAAATTTCCAATATATTTCAGTGAAGTTTTCACCAGTCCCAAATTATAGTTTATCATTTTAGTTTATATATATATATATATATATATATATATATATATATATATATATAATATAAAAAAACCAAAAAACGTTAATTTAAAAAGGCAGCAGGATGATATGGGTTAAACCAGTGGTTCTCAACCGGGGTCTACATGGACCCTAGGGGTCCATGTAATATTTCCGGGGGTCCACAGGCAAAACTCAATTGTTGTGTTAATTAAAAATAGTAATAATAATTATTATTATAATTATAGTAGAATATTTGATTTGTATTAAATTAGTTTTCATTTAAAAATAAAGCTTAATCGTATACTATTTCTTTGATAATTAAAACCTTAAAATTTATATTAGTGAAGAATAGAAAATTGTTCTTATGTCCAATAGCTATGAAGGGGTCCACCAAGATAAAAAGAAGGGGAAAGGGGTCCATGGGTAAAAAAAGGTTGAGATCCACTGGGTTAAACTGACCTCTTCCATATTTTTCCATATATTGTAAACATTTTCTTGTTTCCAGATGAAAACCTGAAAACTTCCCAATATATTTCACTTTCCAAAAATTACAGTTTATAATTAGAGTTTAGATATAAAGTGAGTTCCCCGTATTCGCGGGGGTTGGGGACCAGAACCGAACGCGGATAATTAGAATCGGCGAATACTTGTAACCCCCCGCCGCTAAAAATGCTTATAAATACCTATTTTGATTGTTAAAACCCCATATGCCTTAAACTTTCATCCTAAACACTTTAGAAACATTTCAGACCCTCTTAAAAACATTTTTGAAAAATAATATTGGTGACCATACACTTAGCGTAAATTTTCTTTCATATGTACAATAATCGTTTTTAATTACGCATAGATCGATACAACCATTGAAAATACTGTATCAAATATGTGTAGCAAGACAAAATATAAAGTTTAAAACATTTTTTAAAAACAGAATTGTGATGATGCCCCCAAACTTAGCATAAGCCACTTTTAAGACCCTAGCCGCAGTCCCTAACAAAGAACAAAGCCCAAGCACTACGCTTGTTTTTGCGTTTATTTTAAGATTTATTTATTTATTTATTTAAACAGAATTTTTAATTCTGCAAATTTTTGCTATAAAAATGGACTGCTATATGATTTAATTCACTTAAATAATAGGAAAATAATACAGGAATATTTTAAATATGTTCTATCGAAAAAATACGCGAATCGGGGGAGTTCTCAGCGAATAATTTGTACATGTGTTCTTCAGAAAAACACGCGAATATTCGGTGTTTATTCAGCGAATAACAAGAAAAATCTGCGAATGTATGAAGCCGCGATTGCTGAAAGGCCAATTGGCGAGGGTTCACTGTATTACAAAAAAAAAAAAAAAAAAAAAAATAATAAAAAAAAATAGAAAAAAAAAGAAAAGAAAAAAGAGGTTTATCAGTTTAAATTGACGCCAGGAAGATATGATTTAAATAATGAAGCAATTGTTGATATGCCGTAAAATCCACCCAACCCCAAAATAAATAAAATAAATAAAATCATTTTCATTAATGTCGGGGGTTGCAAAAATAATGCTCATGATTCCAATAATCTCTAACAAGAATGGTATATTGATATATTTATTAAGCATTCGTATTCAATTATATACTTACTAGTTGAAATTGCTAGATGTAAGCGTAAGTTCTATGCTAACAGTTTCTTCTCTCTCACTAAAGTTCAAATTAACACATTCTGACATGATGCAATTGGTTAGACTTGATTTAGATTTATAAATTCTTGACAAAATCCAAAGAAAAATCTGCAATATTATTGGTCCTAACCAGGTATCTCGGCCTCACTCACTCCCCCGCCTCCCACCGTAACGTAGTTTCTCTGTGCCTTTTCTATAAATATTTTCATGGTGATCTTTCCACTTTGGTATCTAGACTTTATGAATTTAAGCGCAGTACTAGATTGGCAGCAAGGTCTCATCATTTTACTGTTGAAATTTCAAGATGAACCCTAAGTTCTATGTTGACAGTTTCTTCTCTCGCACTTCTCGCTTGTGGAAATCTTTTCCGGATTCTTACTTTCCAGTCAACACTGATCTTCAAAAAATTTAAATGCATTGTCAATTGTTATTTTCTTCATTCCTGTTCTCTTATTGTCCCCTCTCTCCTTAATAATGTTGTCTTTTTCTCATATTCCCTAACACTTAACAATCCCTTGCGTCTTAGTGACTTTATTGCCTTTCTTGGGCTGAAATGATTAAAAAAAAAAGAAAGAAAAAAAGAAAAGAAAACATTGTCATGTCGTAAATAATTCAATTAATTGCTAAAGTTTGTAGATAGCGTCATGGCTTAGATTAATAGGTTACGGTATTGAGATCAGGAGAGGAAGGAACTCTCCAGAAATTGACTGAGCAAGAAACACGTTAAGCCCCTCTCCATGCCTAGTTAAGAAACAGGTATAAACGTTTATTAGGCTATGTTTACTGTTATGAATTTAAACTGGGAAAGTGAGGTATTGGAAGATTGTATTGCACCATTTTTTTCAAATTGCAAAGTGTTTTCTGCTTGCCTGGGAAATTTATAATTGAGTAAACTAGATAACACATTCATAAGCCTGATTCCCTAACCCCTCAAAAAAAAACAAACAAACCCAAAAACAAAAACAAAACAGTACTAGACTGGCTGCCAGGTCTCATCGCGCTGACGATCCGTTTAGATC